GTGGGTTCATATTCTCTTTATATTAACTTTTTGAAAATAAGGTTAATCTTAATTTACAAATACATGTAATAGATTATTTTCAAATTACGGATTGGGGACACTTAAAATAGAAGTACAGAAACAAACCGAAACTGAATGAGACAATATCTATAGACTGTGTACATTTTAAGAAGTCCGTGCATGATTATTTACTTATTTTCTTCACAACTTAATGTGTTCTGTATATTATTACTAAGTATGTAATAAATATAATAAAACATACCTTTTCTACATCACATCCTGTATCAGCCCGAGACACCAATATCAGCCAGAGGGCCGAAGGTGTCTCGGGCTGATACAGGATGTGATATGGAAAAGGGTATGTATTATTCCTTATGAAATACATTATGATAATAATAATTGTGAAGTTTTGTGATGAATATTGATTGTGCTTTAATTGTGGAGAAATATATGAATATTCTATTTGTGTAATGAATTATCTCCCTTGACAATCATTGTATTTTTATGCTTTAAATATTAACACTTGTTATATTGCTAATATTAATTTTTCATCTGGTAAATAAATTTTAGTCTTGTCCACGAACCCTGTACAGGTCGTTAGTCTTCACTTGATAACCCCCAAACCGTTACATTTGGGTATAATGGCGTGGGGGGTGTACTAGAGATCGGGAACAGGAAATTTAAACTGCCACACTATCTCAAATTTATATAAACTTGTTTTATTTTAAATAAACTCATGTCTTGCAGCAATCCAAAAATCAATGCATATGCGAACATAAATATGAAACAACATAAAATTAATAATAGTGATTGATATGAACGTGTTTTGTTAGTGTTTTCATGAAAATTGATCAGAAATATCTTGCTTTAAAAATATTGCAATTGTTCTTGAATGATAACTTAAATTGATTAAAAAAGATGACGTGTATAAAGCGAATTAATTTTACTATGAACAATGTTTTAAAGGTATTCAATGTAAAATGAAGAAATTTTGATTAATTTTAGACTAGTAAAAACACACTGCTAGATAACGATAAAAGTGAAATGAACCAAATTCACAAGACTGATAGCATGTAAGAACGCGGTCATTTTGCACATTTGCGCTTTTGAAGAGTTATCTGCCCTTGATGAAAAGAAGAAAATTTTTGATTTCTCAAAATGATTGCGATAAATAATTCATTTTCAATTAATGCATAATTTGACAAAGAGGGAATTTATGCATATTTTCACGAAGAGATTTGTTTGAAATTTAAATTACTTTTTTATAATATCACATAAAAAATGCACTGCCCATAAACTTCAATGTAAAATTAAAGTTGAAATTAATTGGACAATAATCAATTTTTTAAAAATTTCTTTGATGGAGCATTTTAGTTTGATAACATCTTCAAATGCACCATGATTAAACAAGCTAATTCAGAGAATTTGTGTCTCCCGCTTAAGGAAAAAGTAAAACATGCGCAGTCCGGGGGGAGGGGGGATAGTCGAATCTCCCTCACTGAATTTGTAGAATTATTAATTGTATACATGCATGTATACTATAGCAAATAAAATATACCATTTTGGATATTAAGATTTAATTGCTTATTCTTTATTATGTTTATAGAAGATTCTTTTTTTTATGGAATATTTATCACATTGTAATGATTATTTTATTTATCTCGCAAAAACTGGATACCTGTCAAACTAGATGTCTCCGTAGAATACTGAAGATATTCTGGCCAAACAAGATCACCAACGAGGAGCTGTATGAAAGAACATGCACAGCTGCTATATCTGACCAGATTAAAGAAAGACGCTGGAAATTGATTGGACATGTGATGAGGATGAAGCCGTCAGAGATACCAAGGGTAGCCCTAAGATGGACTCCACCAGGAAAGAGAAACAGAGGGCGACCAAAGGAGACATGGCGACGGTCGGTTGAAAAGGAAATGAATGATCAAGGGTGGACTTGGGGCACTGTACAGACAATGGCAGCAGACAGACGGACAGACATGGAGGTCCTCGGTGCAGGCTTTATGTGCTCAAAGCACGAAGAGGACTAAGTAAGTAAGTAATGATTATTCTATGAGTTTGCACAAGGCAGACCTCGTAAATTTTTCATTTCGCGTGCTGAATACTATGATTTAGTAAAAAAAAAAAGTATTTCTAAAAAAAAGGTGGTACGTCTGGGACTTGAACTTGGGACCTCTCGCATGGGAAGCGAGAAATATCACTACACCACGGAATCGCTTTAGAAAGAGTCAAATATATGCAGAAGCGAAGTCAAATACATGTATATATTCATGTTCGGTATTGTCTCAATTTAACACAATCCATGGTGTTTGATTTATTTAGCCTTTATTAAACAGCTCTAATAGATGTAACAATAACATAAAATCCGCTGAGAACATGTTTTATACGCAATAACTCTCCTCTTGCCCCTGTGCTAAAAATAGCGACATGTAATATTATAAATACTAATAAAGCAAACGGCGAGGGGTGAGAGAGGTCTTAGGGAGTTTTGGTATAAAATTACATTGCATAAGCTCAAGATCTTCTTGAAATATCGCCTTGAAATGATAGTGTTACACACAGACAGAATGTATAAATTTACGACCTTGAACTTTGACCTTTTGCCGTCAAAATCAATATGGGTCTTTATTAGGCCACAGGGAGTTGTTATGTAAAATGTCATTGCAATAGCTCAAATGGTTCTAGAGATATCGTGTGGAAACGAAAGTGTTATAACAGACAGAATTTGCTAATCTGTGACCTTGACCTTTGACCTTCTGACCTCAAAATCAATAGGGTTCTTCTTTAGTCCATAGGGAGTTGCTATGCTAAATTTCATTGCAAAAGCTCAAAGTGTTCTCGAGATATCGTGTGGAAACGAAAGCGTTACAGACAGACAGAATGACGGACGGACGGACAGACGGACGGACAAACCCAAATTAATATCCCCACTTTTCAAGCAGGGGACAAATATTGGACCATTCATTTATTAGGTACAAAATATGGTCGTTATACATTGAATACCTCATATAAATAGTATCGGAAGGAAAAAGAATCAGGATTATTTAAAGGGGCTGGGTGATTGTGGCCATTTAAAGACTATTTTGATCTCCTTTAGAAGAAAAATTCCATATTAAGATATAATAAAATACCAAATTTTAAAACTCGAGTTTATGATTTTTTTTTTCTTTTCAAAATGATAGTTGACAGCTTAAAATATCATATACCAAAATTTCAGTTATATCTGGTGGTTAATAAAAAATAATTTGTTGGCCCCTTAGCCTCCTGAAACCTATTCTTTGCAGTTATCATTTAAAAGTTAAATAAACTCCTATTCAGGCTTAGAGTATTTCAATCATTGCAAACTTTTTATAGTACGGAATCCAAAGCATGAATCCTTTATTTTGGCCACTAGCTTTCAAAGTTTCAAGACATAAAAAAACAAATATGAAAAGTATTTGTAATACTCAAATTTTAAGATTTGTCATTTTACAATAATCTGCACTTAAAAAATGGAGAACATGATATGTATTGCATCAAAAATACTGGTAATGTACACAAATGAAATATAATTCATCTCACATCTAAAATAATTATACATTAATAATTATGATAAAATCCTCACGTTAGAGGTAAATTCAATTTGATATATTTACATTTGCAATTTTTTTTCCCATATATATAACACCACTGAATGCAATGGAATCTATAACTGTATAAATACATGTACCAATACGGGGTCAAGAGTCATAGATGTGCGTATGGATAAACGTTCAATGTAATTTCTTTGTGACGTCATAAAGGGTCGACGCGAGTTCAGTGGACTATATACTTGCCGTTGAATTGGAAAAATAATGCATTTCACACGCTAAAAGTCACAATCAGGCAAATATAAAGTATTAATCAGTCATAAATGTAAATATAAGTAATACGGTATCATTTTTTGAGTTTTTTTTGGGATGTAAAACGGGTTGACACATGATCAAATCTTCCATAAAGCCCTTCGGGCTAAACTTCAAGTTTGACGTCAAAGCGCCGGGAACGCTGTATTAAAAATATCAAAAATATTTTAATCAATATTGTAAGAAAAAACAAACTGTATGAAATACATGTATTTCCATAAACTTAACTGTTTTGAAACTGACACATTATTTTTATATTCCTTGTTCAATATGATTAAAATTGAAGACAGGGAGGATTTTTTTTGCCTTCCGTACTTTGTTATTTATACCTGCCTTCATTGTTTTTTCTAAATTATTGTTTAAACAATTTTTTGCATTGCGTTTACCTGAAAATTATATCCAGATACACCTTATTTCACAGAGAGCAATATTGGTAAAGGATCATTGAGAGAACCGGTTTCTCAAATTTGTGAAATCTGAAGGCACTTTTCATTCACCAGGCCCCGGGATCATGAAACATCTTAGCTTAAGTCAAAAAATGTCTTAGATGCTGAATTATTTTAGAGGTTAAGCAGCCCAAAATGAAAATGCTTTCCGATTTTGTATCATCAATGTGTTGTTATATGCAAATTAAGAGTTTCCTTTAACAAGTTTTTTAAGATTTTATAGATGATAGAAATTTTGACTTAAGTCTAAGTCTGTTACATGATCCTGGGGCCAGATTTTTAACTTAAGTATGTTATAAATAGAGAATACAAACAATATATAAGCTTAAAAGTCCATAAACAATACAATGATTTTAATCCAATAATTATAATAATTGCAGTCAATAATTAAATGTTTCTTAATTATCAAAAACCATTGAAATTGCATTGAAAATAGAATACATTTTTCCTCTGCTCTTTTTTCAAGTATTGGAAACATTTATCCAGATGAAACAAAAACAATGTTTAATGTTTTGTTATGCAGTTGAAAAAGTAACCAACATAAATTATTTTACTTCTTAAATGCATCACTTAATTACATTAATTATACAAACAATATAAAACAGAATAACATTTTAATATATGTACATGAAAATAAATGTATTCTAACTTAAAGGCAGTTAAATAATCAAAAACATTGCTGCATTAAGGTAATGTACTGTTAAATTAGCAATTAAATGATCACAGATGTTATCGCAATATGATTAAGGAATACTATTTAGTATTTCATATTTCAAATCAATTCACTTTAAGGTCTTCCTACTAGAAATTTCCCCCAAAAGTCAAATACATTTGATTTCGAAAATGTTGTCATTGGTTGCTATAAATATTTTCCTCTGATGTTTCCTCTTGTGCCCGGATGTAGTCCAGAACAACATTGTTGATCATCATGTATTCCTCCTGAAGGAACAAGAAAAGATTTTACGAGAAAATATTGACCAACACATATTATTGCAAAATGAAGATTCACATAGAAAATCAGTAATGCATAGCATCAAATGTATAGATGAGATGTATTTATTTAAGAAATTACCAGAGTAGAGCAGAGTTCCGGTCGTCTTATCTGTAGCTGACGGACAGCAGTAAATATGTCCACCTCCCCGTCCATAGACAATTGTTGTAGTGTGTTAAATACAGCACAAAATACTCCACTTAGGGCTGCTCCGTCACTGAGGATAAAACATATATATCAATAGATAACTATTGTAGTGTGCTTTATAAGGCACAAAATACAGCATATAGGGCTGCTCCGTCACTGATAATTAAACAAAATATCAATATCCATAGACAACTGTTATAGTGTGTTAAACATAGTACAGAAAACTCCACATATAGCTGCTCCGTCACTGAGAATTAAAAATATTTTAGAGTATGTTCTATACACCACAAAATGCACCACATAAGGACATCACTGATAATAGAAATATTACTTAGATTATATAGATAAATACTAGTAGTGTATTATGTACAGGATAGAGCACCAAGTAAGTCTGCAGTCATTTATATTAAAATCAATGACTATAATATCTATTAACAAATGAAGTAGTACCAAATACACCATGTAGGACATACCCGTCATTGGTGTTTATTAAAACAAATACGAATCTCTTTTACAACTGTTGTGGTGTATTACATGTATATACTGAATAAAAAAGAATGCATAGAACTGCTCCATCACTGATAATTTTAAGAAATTTAGATTTGAAAGCGTCACCAGCTTTTCATTTCCATATTAAAATTTGACAATTGATTTGAACTTCTTAAGCTGTTACCGTATATACTCGCCTATAAGTCGGTATTTTGGGAGTTAAATATTGGTCTAAAACTCTATCTCCAAATTTTTGGCGAGTCATAAGGAGATACGTATCTGGAGGCTAAAATTTAGTATTTTATTTGCATTTCCGACGATTATCGAAGAAAATGTCTGGATATAATATATGATAATTTATGTAATCCTAGATTAACCATATAAAGTACAAGATATTACCTATGTTAAACATTTTATTTGTAGTTTTAGTGAGCATTGCCTTTTTAAAAATAATTTATGATCAAATATTAGTGTCATTTCGAAAAATATTAATTCAAACCAGGTTAAAACATCAACTGATTTACTTTAAATTGGCATCCGATTTTGGCAAAAAATGTACCGACTTAAAAGCGGGTCAACAGCAAATCCCACCAGAATAATGTAAAAAAAAAATTACAACCGACTTATAGGCGAGTATATACGGTAAGATCTTGCTAGAACTTTACTAGATTATTTACTAATTAAATGTTTAATAGTAAAGATTCAGTTCAATAATTTTACAATAATAAATACGAAGTTTGTATTTCCGATACCTAACATTTCAAAACATAATATCTTCCATGAAATTTAATTTTAAATGCATAGTTCATATTTGCTTATGCATAGAAAAATTTTGTTCTATCTTTAAAAAGAGATGCTGAATTTAAGTTTCCAAGGGGTTTAAGTAATTTCTGTTGCAGAGGATGTCTTCTGCAATCTACGCTTATTTTACACGTATCCATTGACAACAACTGTGTTGACTCTTTTTATATTCACGATTTGATTGCTGCCTTCTCTAAATTTTGCATTCCTCTTGGATATGTACTAAGTGAGGATATAAATGAACCTTTATCGGATAAATTACTCTTCTTTCAGCGCTTTTTTGCATAAATTCAATAAAGAGACACCTATATATGGACGTGATTAATCGAAATTATGTTAAAGTCGTTTTATGTTATTCGTCCAAAAATACAATTTTCTTTTTTGTCAATATTTGATGCTATATTTTTTTCACCTGCTAACTACAGTAATGGGACCCTCTGTTTCACATTGAAGTGCTGATGAAACCAAATGTAACATCTGCATTGTAGCTTGTGAGTTTTCTGCTATTTTCAAGCTTCCTTTTGGTTCTATTATTGATACGGAGCATCCCTCTTCAGTTGCCTGCAAAAAAAAATAGAATAGGGGAATATATCCTTCATCTAAGAGATACTGCAAAGATTTTCAGATGTTAGGAATATTCGAAATAAACATTAAACCAGCTGCTGCATCTTTCACTTTAATTATTCAGCAATACCAATTCTTACCTTTTCTTGGATAATGCTGATTGTTGTAAATTTTATGTCTGTGACTTGTTCTTGTCCACAATTTACTGTGTATGGAGCAACAGATTTCTTACTATTGGCAGCCGGTAGCCACAACTTTGTCTATATATGAAAGAATCATAAAAACATTTATTATTTCATTAAAACATTTATTATTTAATATGTACCTCCACTGAATAGTTTCCAACTTTATTTCTTAAGAATACCAGTGCCGTTTATCAATTCATGAACAAAGCCGGGCATATCATTGGTACAATTTGCTTATTCAAGCTGTTTTATAAATAAAACATACTATGACGTTGTTATCAATAGTACAAAGCATAATCTTTGAAATTCTTCTTTAAATGATTATTTATACAGATATAAATATAGCATGAATGTCTTTCTCTGGTTGATAGTTCTTGAACGAACGTCGCAATTATTGCAGGGAATAAACATTTCCAGCAGCAGCTGCGACATTAACTTCCCTATTAACTACGTTACTTTAGAAAGCATTTTATTGTTTATTAACATTAAATTTTGTATCACTGTAATCAAGTTATAAGAATCATGTACTCACTGATTCCACTTTCGTTAGGGGATCCATACAAATGACTACATCTGATTCGTGGTCAGTGAGCAGACGCAAAAAGTCGACAGCGTCCCCTGCTGGGGGATAATGTGTTATTATAAATGCCTTGTTCTTAGTGTAAGACTAAAATAAAGAGAAAAAAGTAAAAATTAGTGCAGATTTTTTGTAAATCAAAGTCTAAGGATACAAAGAATATATTTTATTCAAATATTACATGTAAATGTATTGTTTTAATTTTTCTGCCCTGAAAAATTTGGTATTACTTTATATTAACATGTATACTGATAAATATCTACTTTTTAGACAGTATCTATAAGTTTGAAACACTCCCATTCTTATATCCAAAACAATAAACTAATATTTACATACTTTTTACAGTGAAAGAAAATTTGATGTTATTGATAACTAAGCACATCAAAATTAATACATACCAGGGTTGTCCGTAAAGTTCGTAGACAAGCTCAAATTTAAAGAAAACTTGTGTCATTGATATTTATTATTAACATATTTATAATCCTTTACTGAATACCAATTACAGAATGTAAAATAATATTCAATTTCAAATAAATAAATATAATAATGGGATTAATGGCTTCATCATTAGATTTGGGTTGGTGACCCGGAGCACCGCAAAATTTTAATTAAAAAAGTTATTCATCACTTTATAAATTTCATTTGTATTTTGTTAATCCTGCGGAAAATCGGATTCCTTTTACATTACGAGGTTGACAAAAGTTATAACTGCATACCTGCAAAATTTGAAGAAGTGGCTGAACAATCTAGGTTAGAATCTATTAAGACAGGATCCGCTTTGTTCGAAAAAGGAGCGTTTTCGGAATAGGCGGAGCAGTGAGCAGTGATAAAATCCTGCGTAAACATCGGAAAAACACCAACGGAGACCCTTACATGCTGTATACAGTGGGGAAAATATAGTATAGAAAGCAGTTCATAAGTATTTAGTTGAAAATAAAATTTTCAGACGGAAGGAACTGTTTACAGGATGACATGCGTGAAGGAATACCATCATTTCGAGATTGTGGTGCTGTTTTAAACAAGAGGCCCAAGGGACTTGAATCGCTCTTCTGATAAATTGTACAATCTATCACTTCTATTTGAAGCCTCTTACTCTAAGTATCCTGAGATGCATGAACTGACAAAGTTTAATGATTCTTTGCCAGTTAGGACTGAAGATATTTCAGTATAGCTATAAAATACCATAAGTAGGACTTGGTGACCTACTTTTTGATTTGAAACTTTCTGAGGACTCAAGATGCATTAATTGACAAAGATTGATGGTTTTAAGCCAATAAGTACCTCAAATGTTAAAGTAGGTCACTGTGACCTTCTTATCGTTGACATTCTCCGAGGACCAAAGATGCATCAACTATCAGAGTTTGATGATTCTAAGCCAATAAGTACCAAAGATACTTAGATAAAGCCATAAAATGTATTAAAAAAATAGGTCACCGTGACTTACTTTTTGGTCGACATTTTCCGAGGACCAAAGATGCATCAACTGACAGTGTTTGATGATATTAAGCCAATAAGTATCTGAGATAATCAAAAGTAGGTCATTGTGACATACTTTACAGTCGACATTTTCCGAAAACCCAAGATGCCTCAACTGACGTTTGATAATTCTAAGCCAAATAGTACCTAAGATATAACCATAAAATGTCGAAACTACGGTAGGTCAAGGTGACCTACTTTTTGGTCAACATTCTCCGAAAAACCAAGTTGCATCAAATGACAAAGTTTTGATAATTCTAAGCCAAAAAGTACTTAAGATACTTAAATATAACCATAAAATGTCAAAAGTAGGTCACCATGACCTGCTTTTTGGTCAACATTTTCAGAGGGCCCAAGATGCATCAACTGACAATGTTTCATGATTCTAAGCCAATAAGTACCTGAGATAATCAAAAGTAGGTCATTGTGACCTACTTTTTGGTCGACATTCTCCGAAAACCCAAGATGCCTCAACTGACAACGTTTGACAATTCTAGGCCAATTAGTACCCAGGATACTTATGTATAGCCATAAAATTCATAACTAGGTCACAGCGACCTACTTTTTGGTCGACATGTTCCGAAAACCAAAGATGCATCAACTGACAAAGTTTGATGATTCTAAGCCAAAAAGTACCTGAGATACTGAAATATAGCCATAAAATGTCAAAACTAGGTCACAGTGACATACTTTTTGGTCGACATTCTCCGAAAACCCAAGTTGTATCAACTGACAAAGTTTGATGATTAGAAGCCAAAAAGTACCCAAGATACTTAAATATAGCCAAAAAAATGTCAAAAGTAGGTCACCGTGACCTACTTTTTGATTGACTTTTTCCGAAGACCCAACATGCATCAACTGACAAAGTTTGATGATCATAGGTCTGAAAGTATTCAAATTATGCCTTTTAAACAATTTGAAAACAAATGCCTGCAAAATTCAAAAAGTAGATCACAGTGACCTACTTTTTCATAAATATCTTTTAAGGCCCCAAGATGCATCAACTTACAAGATTTGGTGAATCTAAACCTCTCAGTATCTGAAATAATGGGATTAAATGTTTTAGAAAAGATGAGCCATAAAATTCAAAAAGTAGGTCACAGTGACCTACTTTTAAGTTGACCTTGTTTAAGGACCCAAGATGCATCAACTGACAACGTTTGATGATCATAGGCCTTAAAGTGTCCAAAATATGCCTCCAAATCAATTTGAAAACAAAAGCCCATAAAATTTAAAAAGTAGGTCACGGTGACCTACTTTTGTGTTAATATGATGTGAAGTCCTAAGATGCATCAACTTACAAGATTTTATGATCCTAGTCTTTATAGTAAGCAAAATATAAATGTTTTTATTAAATTTAAATTTTGGTTAACTTTGAAGTGACCTTGAGACCACGCCCTTTGCCCCAGGGTCATGCCTTGAACAATTCAACATATCCTGAACCTTGTATGTAAGTTTGGTGAAAATCTGCCTGGTGGTTCTGGAGAAGAAGATTTTTTAGCAACTAGTACTTTAGGTTCTAGTTTCCTGATTATCTCCCCTTGTTTTAGGGTCCCAAACCTAGTTTTAGTATAAATGGTAGCCCTTGGGCCAAGGATACCCTGTAACAAATTTGACAATGATTGGACAAGGGGTTCTTGAGTTATGGCCCATATTCTAAAAAGTTAACGCACACCGCACACAGCACACCGCACGACGCACACCGCACAAATGGCCATAGCATTAGCTTTTTGAGCCTTTGGCTCAGAAGAGCTAAAAAGTTAATTTCGTAACATGATTTTGCCGTATTTCCTTAAATAAAGTTGTTTTTACACGTACAGAGGTAGGATAATCGCAGTTAATGAGGCAGGCATTGTTAAATATAATTTTACGTATGAAACCTGAACATTTTGTGCACATTTTTATGACTGGTTAAAGCGACATAAATGTATTGAGTTAAACGGTGTCTAGTTTAAAAAAGTTACATGTACTCGTATTAAGCTTTTGACGTCGGATAACGTCAAGATTTTTCGTTTTAGTGCTCCAGGTATAAGTGTGTGTCTTTTTGTTATCTGATAAAAATATAACTATCTGTGCTTTGTTTTTGTTGAAAACTTGCATATTAATAAAATGAAACATGAATTTAGTGAAAATAATAGTTTCATATATTTATCAATATTTGTCAGTAATTATCAATGATGTCTACGAACTTTACGGACAACTCTCGTACATATATACATTATGTTACATACAGGAAGTGTAATGGCATTGATGTAATTCCCGCGTTGTGGTACACTTGATGACAGGAACAGGCGATACTTGTCAACTAAAAGAAAATAAAACTTTACTGTGCAGAATAAAAAATAGCTGTCTGGACTGTACATGGCTCAATTTTTGAACACAAAACAAATAACGTATCACTTTTTTCCAAATTGGTTGATACACTGTTATGGCTACATGTTTAAATATGTGTAGGGTTACATACAAGCTCACGGGTCCTTTGCATAATTTTTTATTTTGTTTTCAATTAAGCATAGTACTAACAATTATTCTGTTCAAAAAAAGGAGGAATATTTATTTACAGAGAGGAGATGTCACTTTTAAAGTGCATCAGTATAGACTTATAGCCCTGAATGCAAATAAAATGTTATTTCCTATCATAAACTGTATGGAAAACAAGAAATACAAACTTTTCTTTTGTCATCTTTACTTATTTTAACTATACTCCTATATTACCTCATATTTAGAGTAATATCCAGGAAGTGGAGATATATTAAAGAATCATTTTAATGCTTAAACATTTTCAAGGGAACATAAATTAGAAATTAATTCAGAGAAAAACTATGAGTTGTGAATGTATATGTGGCATTTAAATTATCGAATTGAATAACTTACGTGGAAGAACAGCTGATTTACTTCCGCCGCTCTCTAAAGCAAATTTGTAAGCCTCTTCTGTGTATCTGTGCCTCACTCTTAGGAGATTCTAAATAAGTATGCAAGTTATGCTTTAGGTTTTTTTTTATTTCCAATAAAGGCAAGAAAGTTCATTTCAAGTTTTTCCTTAATTTTCCAAAAAGAAACACAACTAGAAGATATTTAAAGTTTGTCATATTTAATGTCAACAGAGTCCATTCTTGTTATTGTAAAGGTTCTAACTGAGTTTGGTTGAGAAGAACAGGGGAAGCAGGTATTGAAACAAATAATGCCTGTGCAGAAAAGTCAGGGGTGCAGCATATTTGTGAAATATCTCAAGAACACAGGTAAATATATAACTTCAAATACCCATGCTAAGCTTATAAAGTCGGCACAGAATACCAGTATGACAAATCAATTCATAATCAAACATTTTCACACAAAATGACCGGCACTTTTTTCATATGGGTGTTTTAAAAATGGTTATGTATATTTTCATATGGTAAAAACTCCTAATTGCTATAAATCAAAAGAACAATCTTGTGTTTATGTTAGACTGGAAATATAACCTTTTCAGTTAAACACTACTTTGAAATTTTAAAAAATATTTCATTATGGAACGAACTTTGTTAACACCCCTTAGCTATACATGTATATGGAACCACACAAATATAGAAAAATGTCAAGTTTCTTCAAGCAAATATATAAATATGAAGTATGTTGTCCCAATCCTTACAAAACTATAATTAATATACATTGGAACTCCTTTCTAAGTTCGCTTTCATTGGCTGGTTTATCCATGGTCATCAACTCTGCCTTCCTTGTAAATTCAGGTTTGGTGAGGAGCACGTATTTGAGAGCTTTAAACACGGTTTCAAGTGCGAGGAAAATAGTCTTATACTGCTCCTGAAATGTTCCAAAACCAAAGTAAATAGAGACGATTTTTTTCACAAATACATACATGCATTATAATGATTTTTTTTTATATAAGGATGTGTTTATTGGTATTATTGGTTTATTGCATGAAGCACATGAAAAGGCATATATTTTTTTCATAATAATTGAAAAATCACATTTTATTTTGTTTTGCTAAATATAACTATTTGGTCTGCTTTAGTAGATTTAATATTTATAAACAATTAACTTTTACTAGGTGTTTCAGAATAGGTGACTCTATATATCAAACCGGTAGAGAAACAGAAGTGAATCATGTATCTTTAATGGTTCTATAAAATGCAAAAATTCAACAATTTTAATCGGTGTATATCTGCGTCTGTTTTTCTTACGCCAAGGTCAGTTGAATGCCGTGTTTTATTTATTTTGTCACTTAAATAATTTTCAAAAAGATTTTAAATTAAACAAGAGGCCCAGGGGCCACAGCACTCACTTTAGCACACCGGATAGGAAAAAGCAATATCAGATCAGAAATGAAAGTTTACTGAGTTTGGAGGGGGGGGGGGGCTTAAATCATGATTTGAACAAACTTGAATCTACACTACCCGAAAATGCTCCCACATAAGTTTCAGCTTTTCTGGCCCAGTGGTTCTTGAGAAGAAGATTTTTAAAGATTTTTCCTATATATTCCTATGTAAAACTTTGATCGGCCCCACCCTACCCACAGGGGTTATGATTTGAACAAATTTGAATCTACACTTCCTGAGGATGATTCCACGTGAGTTTCATCTATCTTGGCCCAGTGATTCTTGAGAAGAAGATTTTTTTAAAATGCCATTAATTTTTTCACTAATTCATAATTATCTCCCCTTGGAAAAGGTCGTGACCCTTCATTTGAACAAATTTGAATCCCCTTCCCCTAAGGATACTTTGTGGCAAGTTTGGTTGAAATTGGCCCAGTGGTTCTTGAGAAGAAGATGAAAATGTGAAAAGTTTATGACAACGACGACTGCAACGATGACAGACAACGGACAAAGGTTGATCAGAAAAGCTCACTTGAGCCTTCGGCTTAGGTGAGCTAAAAAAGATGATTCATTGTGTTAACCTTTGAAGAATCTTTAAAACTATATTAAAAATAAGCAGGTTTTAGACAATTGCAATGCACACAGATAATCAAAGTACTCAGAAGTACAGAGAGCCGGGTTCATTTACAGGGTAGAAAGGATTTCTTACATGAATCACGTTTATATTCTGATGAAAAAATTATTTTAAAACTATCAATATAAATGATAAGACACTGACAGTGAGTTTTTCAATCCTAATACCACGGTCCGATTTTGTCAGAATCAGAATTAATCTGGTACCGCAGCTGAATGTAAACAAACAGGCCAGTCTGGTTCCCTCTCCTGCTTTACTTCGTATGTGTATAGGACTACGGTAACACTGATTATCAAAAATCCTTACGCTAATGAACTATGTTCTTTGACTTATGAAGTTTTCAAAGTCATTACTACTAATGTTTATTTTATATAGATAAAACTTCGTTTTATTTTTGTTGCTTTATTTAGGTTTGTATTATTTCAAAAACGGTTGAGAGTAAGAACTATATTTTTGCACGTAACTTTAAAATGTCGACTATGGGGTCAACATCCTGCCTTGAACAGGATCACATAAGCCGGCAATTGCTCTTTGAGCAATAAGCCCGGCTAAAAAAACAACCTATATATCTCGTAATATCTACTTACATAAGTTTGGACCATGTTCATTCTGCCTTCCCTCATTTTCTTCACGTATTCCGCGATGTTGACTTTCCTCTCTGATTTTCCCGCCTTGTATAAAGCGTCTAAGGCAACATAAGTACCAGTCCGCCCTATCCCTGCGCTAAGGTTAACAGAAAAAAACAGTGTATTCACACTTCAAACCTACTGAAGCATCCATTGCAAAAAGTTAAAAAATAAATCAAGCTCTTTTTGTGCTTTTGTACCGATAAAAGGAACCAGTTAACTTATCCACAGATAACAAGAATTATACGCATGCAAAGTAAGAAATTTCAGAGAAGCAGTTTCTTTTTTCATTAGCGTAAAATAAATGACGGAAAAACATTACGCGTTTATCCTGCAACATTGAATTGCATTGACCTAATCAAGGTAACCTTAAAAACCGAGGCTTATCTCAGTCAATGCCCTAAAAAAGCCTCCTGCATGCATTTCAATATTCTAAAAGCATTGTGATGACATATATATTCCAATGTTTACGCTATGACGTCTGCAGAAATATACCTAAATCAAGTTGAAGAACTGGTTTTGGAGGTCAGATGTAAATATATGATGCAGGATAAACAAATTATTCGGTTATTGCCTCGAAATATAAGTGATATTGGAGTCTGGTCGAAAATACCTTTTCACATTTTCTTATCCTCGCCGAAATATATATTTCAAGACGATAAACATGTATTCTTTATATATAACCTGCAATGTACTAGTGTTGGTTTATCATTTCTTCCATCTTTTGTTCTTGTTACGTGATCGTGGAAAACTACAAGGCAAAGCGGTTCTGGAATCCCATGATCCGGCCAGGCAGTGTAGTGGTAATGGGTCACAATGCGGGATTTGTTATGCTAAGAATAAAAGTTAGAACTTTTTCATAATGTAATTGAATACGTGTATTCCTCATCATGAAAAGAAGCAATAAACTTTATAAATACTAATGGTCCTTTAAACTTAGAAATCTCTGCTGGTCATTTTTGAAACCTTTTTTATTTGTGTTCACAAATTTTGTAATAATTTTAAAATTATAAAGTGAAATCATTTCTGCTTCTTCCGATTGTTTAAACATGACAGGTTTCATTCAGTACAAAATATAAATTATTTGATGTTCTAAATATAAAAATACAGTTTGCAAAAAGGAAATTGTACGAATAGATAATAAAAACATTTTGCAGCATATTTTTGAAATATTATATTGTTAAGGTCAGTTTGTCCCATTGATTTATAAAAAAAAATAACTATATGAAGGGATTGCACTCATTATCAAAATCTCAACACAAGTTTCACTTTTTGTACATATTATCATTTTATATTCATTATGGAAATTAAAACATATCTAATTGAGAATGACATACCACTTTATGGGTAACTCTAAATTTCCTGATTTTATAGTAAGCGTAGACCTGTTCTTCCTCTGCTAATAGGGAGATGACACCAAACGTACTTGATTGATACAGATCTGGCCAGTACTTTGAACATTTCACCTGAATAATGAAAAAAAAAACAGATTTACCTTATACCGAATGTTAGATAGAATATTCACTTAACGGTAAATCACTGTCTCAAGCCGCGGTTTGGAGTCCGCATAAAGCAACCTCCTACCCGTGGCTGTTTGAATACATGAATTATCGTAATTTTGAATATTTATATTTTTTACACTTTTATGTTGTTACGGCATGTTCAGCCAATGGAAAAATTTGTTTCCATCACAATTTAATAAACAATGACATCATCTGTACAGATAAATATGTCGTAAACTATGATTGGGTAATGAAATATCTCGACAAAGTTTATTCTCCGACTATGCTTTACTCGCTTTGGTTCAATATTCTAAGGAAGTAACAAAATATTCACTTCTAATTTAACCACGGCCAAAATAGGAGAGGATAGTAAATTTTGGCCCGGCTTGTGACGATGCGGTAAAATAAGAATCTTTTTTTTTTACATTTAAATAATTACCACAAAAGTTAACATTCAATTCCTTATTTTATAGAAATTTTTGTTTGTCAAAACCAACATATTTCTTATATTGATTTAGTTTTCCTCTCTTACTGAAGTTGTACATATAAATCGTTAATATTTTAAACACCCTTGAGAAACTTTTCTTGGTTTCATTAATTTCAATAAAATTAGGATTACTTTAATTAGATTTTTTTCGGCGGAGTTTCACATGTACTATTAAATATTTATTTACCTTATTTCCTTCTTTGAGGTTGGTCAACATTATTATTTGGTCAACATTTTCCTGCCAAATCATGGTCCAAAAGTCCTTTATGGTGTTCTGTCGAGGTCCTGTTACAGAGAAACATTGCTACCAGTGTAATCATATTATTACTAACGTAAAGTCTTTATGATTCGTTAATAAGTGTGAAAGTAAACAGAACAGTCCTACCTTGTGCTGCAATATATTCATTTGTCTTATCAATACCCTGAAAATAAAAGGCAAATGTCCGCAATTATTCAAAAAGGCATAGTGTTTTTCTCCTGGTATATATTTCTTTTTCATTTGAGATGCATACCTGATAGAGGATGATCATAATTGATTCTGTGGTTCAGAAAATGTCATTAGATAAAGATAATCTTGATTTCTTTTTACACAGACGTACTGTATCTAATGATATATCAAGATGATATTTTATTTATATTTAAAGGATGTTAATCAAAATACGGTTAAATAAGTTAAAATACCAATTATGATTAAATAAAACTATACATTCAGTTAAATTAAGTTTTATTTAAAACAACTTACTTCGATAAAATTAGCGTTGATGTAGTCGGACTGGCTATCCGATAATTTGATTCTTGAATGGTCGTCTGAAAATAAATATATTTTTGTTAAATGTATCAAGCATGGTGTAAATCACTGACGAAACCTATAATTATGATATTCAAGTAAGATTTCTTCGATATCAATGATATATACTGTCTT